CGGAAAGTTCCCTGCCCAGCAGCAACCTGAGGAAAACGCTGGCTGCACAGAAGGCACCACCCTCATGCCCATTGGCATGAGGCCGTGGGGCCTGAAGGCCCTGTGGAGTCAGCGGAGTGCTGTCCTGGAGTGGGAGGGCCTATAGGGTCATGCTCAGGCCGCTGTGTGTCCTTCGTCCCTGATGGAGAGATGGAATGGCTGTTTGCTCATGTCGTGCATCTGCATTTGCCCCAGTGAGCAGGGGAGGGGGTGTCAGAGTATGGGGCATTCACTGGGGGGAGGGGGGGCCTGTGCCAAGGCCCTGTGGGCAGTGTGTGGACAAAAGATAGGGCCCCTGATCTGAGGGGACAGGCAACAGACAGGCCCAAGTTGGGATCACTGTGGTGAGAGTCGGGGTGTGGGGTGGCCTGGCCCTGACCACAGATAAAGGACAGACAGGAAGGGAGCAGGAGCGAGACAGGAAGCTGCTGAGAACCCCATGCCCTGCCCCCACCCTGCACCCCTGCACTTCACCCACCCCAAACCCCACCGTGGATGAGAGAGAGCAGGGGCCTGGGCTCTGTGGGGAAGGTGAGTGGCGAGAAGCAGGTGGGTTTGAGCCATCTCTCAGGCACAGACACGGAAGCCTACTGGGGGTGGGATGTGGGGGCAGGGGACGGCAAGAGTCCAGTGGGGTCCTCTCAAGCTTCAGAGGCTTGTCAGACGTGAGGGGAGCTGTCCACTCGGAAGGCCTCTGGCCGAACTTCTAGGAAGCAGCTGCGTTCGCCTTGTCCTGTTGGTCTGGATCCTGCGCAGGAGCCTGCAGAGACGCACACTGTCCCCACAACAGTTCTTGGTGGCCTCGTGGGAGGCGTGTTGGGCAGCTAACACTCGGTCAGCCGTCGGAACCCCCAGGACCTCCGGGAGAGAAAGATGAGGCTTTCTGCTCCAGGGAAGCGAGTCTCGAAAAACCCAAGGGGCAGTTCTACTTGGTCCTGGCAGGGCTGCCCTGAGTCCGAATCCGCCTGACACGGTGAGTTTGATTGTTCACTGTTGTTTGAAACCACCCCACCCCCACCCCACTTTGCAGAGGCAACTGGGGCACTGGCTGTCTGGCTCAAAAGCCTTAATCACAGTGACCCCCCACGCTGACATCCACCTTCGATGCTGGGGCTGGCATTGCCCTCCACAAGCACTTTGTCAGCTCAGTTCCTGGTCTGACAATGAATTTGGCCATAGCCACAGAGTGGTGGACCTCATGGTCCACATGGCCGCCAAGGAACAAGAGAACCCCTGGACCACCAGCCCCAGCAGCAGCACTAGAAGAAGAGAGGCCCTCCACTGCTGGGGAGCCTTTGCCTCAACTCATCCCTCAACACACTGAGAATATTCCATCCAGACCCCCTGAAGGAAGGGCAGGGGCTCAGAGAGCCCGACCTTGTCATGTCCCATCAATAAAGTACTCCGTGCCCAGAAAAAAAGGTGGGGAAAGCCTTAATCAGAGCACTAGGCAGGCCGGCAGGCCGGCCTCGGAGAGACCCCTGTGATCAAAGGAGCATGCAGGCCGGCCACAGAGGAATCGCACCTTCCAGAGCTCCCCCAGAAACCCGGCGTAGCTGTCAGTCCAGTTACAGGGATTCTTGGTCCCCCACCCCCACCCCCTCCTCGCCTCTTGCAAAGTCGCATTGACACTGGCTGCCATCTGTGACGAGTACAAGGGCCTCATTCAGTGCCACCAAGTCACCCTCGGCTCACCGCGGCCCTGCTGGACGACAGAATGAACCACCACCCAGCCCTGCGCCATCCCACCCTTCCCATGGCTCTCCACTTTGATGCTGTGGGCCGGATTCAGAGGCGGAGCCCCTGGGCGTGCAAATGCCCTTTCAGCTGGGCGAATGCACGGGGGCTGGCAGGATCGAGCCCATTTGCCCTGTCCCCAGGCTTGCCTCAGTGACCCGATGACAGCACCCCCATCTGGTCCCCACGCCCCACACCAGCCTGGGCTGTGTGTGTCCTTCTCCCCCCTGTAAATGCGCCCCCTGTTGTGGTGCAGGCATGCCCTCAACACACATCGACCCCGGTGGCAGAGGTGAGCGGCCTCAGAGGGTCTCCTGGGCTGCCATCCTATGGGGGCAGACGGACAGGCTGCTAGGGGTGGGTGGGTGGGAGCCCCTGACCAGTCAGAGTTAGCCACTGAGCACGCCACCTGGGCTATCCGGAGATGCTCACGTTTCTGCCGGAGTCACTTGGAAGGATACGCTTTCAACCCAAGGTATCTCTTGTAGGATGGAAGGGGTCCCAGCAGGCAAGATAAGCCAGGATGTAGTGAGCAATCCCACCAGGGCTTCCCTGCAGCTTTGATGTGCAGAAACAGCTCCCTGAGGGGGATAAAGGAAGCCTGAGCCAGCCCTGTTC